TCTCTTTCTCTCTCTCTCTTTCTCTTTCTCTCTCTCTCTGTATCTGGAATTGAACTCAGGACCTCATGCTACCCCAGCCCCTCAGCCACTTTAAAAGAAAAACAGAAAAAGGAAGAAAGAAAGACTCCAATCAATGTAATTAGAAATGAAAAGGCAAGCAGAGTAGGCTGAAATTCAGAAGATTATTACCAACTGTTTTGAGCACCTGTACTCTAATTAACTGGAGAATCCAAAAGAAATATATAACATTCCTAGCAACATATGAATTATAAAAACTAAACAAAAAAGATACAAAACCCCTGAAAAATCCAGGAACAGACAATGAAATTAAAGGAGTAAAAAGAAACCTACCAACTAAGAAAAAAACCTACGTCCCATTTAAATTCTCCACTAAATTCTACAAGAACTCCAATATTCCTCAAACCTTTTAATGAAACCAAAAAGGAAGGAGTACTGCCAAACTCATTCCTGGAAGCAGCCATTAATCCACTGCACAGATTCTCATAGCTATATGTTCTAATACCTTGCTGTTTTAAATCACTGTAACTTTGCAGTATAACTTGAAGTCCAGGATTTTGATGTTTCTTACTTTCAATGGCCAGAGGAAGACAAAAAAGAGGGATGTGGTCCCCTGGATTCAAAAAAGATCAGAAGTGAGAACTGAATCCCACTGAGACAATGAAGATAGAAACTTCAATGATGAAAAGAGGAGGTGGGTGACGTTGCCGTCTCCTGAGGTGAGAATCACTGCATGAAAGGAGCAATGCAAGACATGTGATTACTGCTGGTGACCCCACAGGCCTCTATGGAGACACACAACAGTGGAGAGGAGCAGTGGCTGTGAAGGATTGTGCAGACTGGGGTGAGCTCTAGCTTGGTTTACAAGAAAGAGCAACTTGGGGGCTGGGGAAATAGCTTGGTGGTCTAAGGACCTGCTTGGCAAGCATAAGGACCAGAGTTTGGTTCCTGGTGCTGCATGCAGTGCTGGCCCTGGAACCACAGAAGCACTGACCCGGCCTTGAAACCAGTTGTGGTGGTACATGTCTGTAATCCCAGCATTGGGGAGGTTGAGACAGGAGAATCACTATGAGTCTTCATTGTTTAGCAAGATCCTGTATTCAAAAATAAATAAATTTTAAGTAATAAAAAAGAAAGAGCAACTGGTTGGGAGCCATCTTGAAGTGAGATTGGCTGAGCTCAGAACTCAAGAGGAGCTGGTGGGTTGTCCAATGGGTCTCAGCTGAGTTCAGACCCATGGAAGGTACACTGACTGCTACAGGTTAAAAGGTTTTGTCTCAGTCCCCATGGCCATAATACAGCCTAAACTTCAGGGGGAATAAAAGTGCAGACTCACTGAGTATCCACTACCCTGCTATATGGCTACTATTGGTTTCTGGGATGAATCGACATGGAGCCACATGCTACCTACCAATGACAGCAGAGACAAACCTGAAAGTGGACTTTTTCTCTCTTTTTCTTTTTCTCTTTTTATTTGTCTCTCTCATTTTTTTTTTTTAGTTGTAGTTTTGATTTTAGTTTTTTTTCTATGAGAAGTAGTAATTTCCTAAGTGTTCTAAAAACTTCCAATAAAGCAATTCATCATAGGCAATTTACACACATCAAACTAGGAATTGAACTTTAAAAAAAGGAAAATGAGAACACACTTAAGCAAAATGCAACACCAGATACCAGTTCACCAAAGGTAAAGCCAAGGGACAATGAGGTGGAACAATCCGAGGGTTACCCACCTTGTCTCTCTGAAGCAGTAACAAAAAAAGCATTTGAATGAGGCTCTAGAAAAAAATAAAATTAGAAATAATTTCTCAGATAACTGCAGAAATGGTGTCCACAATGAAAACAGGATTAGTAACCCATAGCAGATACAAATAAAAACAGAGGAGTTTAAGAAAATTAGGAAATCTGAAAGTGCCCAACAGAAGAAAGGAATGAAATCCATAAGACAGATCAAGTAGATGTTCAGGAGAATAAAAATTCCATTCAAAGTATCTACAGCAGAACAAGCCAATGAGAGGACAGAATTGCAGATATACAAGGTATCATCATGGGCAGTGATCATGAATAAAATGATTTCTTAAAAATAGCAGGGGACCATGAGAAATTAATTCATCAACTGCTAGAGGATGGAAAGAAGAATAATTTAATATTGATTAGAATCAATGGAAAAGCAGGAGATAACACAAATGGTACACTAAAAACTTCACAGACATCATAGCAGAAAATTTCTTTTTTTCTTTTTTTTTTCATGGCAGAAAATTTCACTGGTAGGGAAAAATTTTGACACACAGATAAGTGAGCCATACAGCAATGATAAAAACCCCTACCCCAGGCATATAATAGTCAAAATTCCAGAAATTCAACACAGGGCTGGTATATTAAAAGCTGTTAGGGAAAAGAAACAGATCATCTTTAAAGGAACATCCATCTGAATTACAGCCAACATCTCAGCACAAATCTGTGAGTCAAGGAGAGCTCTGGGTGAAGTATTTCAAGCTGAAGAGGAAAACAACTAACTCAGATTGATGTACCCTACAAAACTATCTTTCAAAACTGACGGAGAAATAAGACACTTCCATGGCATAGAACACCTGTGGAAACTTAGGACCTCCAATCCAGCATTCCAAAATGTTTGAAGGACATTCTAGAAAGAGATAACAAAGGCTATAATTCCATGAACCCTTACCAAGCAAATGAAGGAATTACATAGTGGGGTACAAAAAAAGGGGAGCCAACAATAGGAAAATTATGTGACAAGGATAAGTCAATACACATCAGTTATAATCATCAAAGTTAATGGCCTCAGTTTACCAATCAAAAGATGCAGACTGACAGAATGAATCACGAAGCAAGATCCAAAGATATGTTGCACACAAGCAGCACATTTAATTAAAAAAGAAATTTATAGATTGAAAGTCAGAGGGTGGAAAACAATACTCCATGTAACAGGAATTCAGAAAAGAGCAGGAGGATCTATTATATTTGCAGACAAAGTGAATTTAAAGCCAAGTATGATTAAGAGAGACAAAAGGTTACTACATTCTTGTAAAGGGAATAATCCACGAGGAAGAGAGACAATCACAAATATATATGCAACAAATTCCAGTGCACTCAACTATATAAAACAAATACTAATGCACATAAAAATCAAATCAACATTAACATAATTGTAGTGGGGAATCTCACCCCACTGTCACAAAAAGTCAGACCAACTACACAAAAAAATCTGTAATGAAATATTATAACTGAACCAAACTTTGAATAAATGGTCTTAATAAATGTTTAAAGAGTGTTCCACCCCACATCATTATAAAGCACATTCTTCTCAGTTTCTCGCAGGATGTTCTTCAACATAGACCACATACCAGCTCGTGGAACATGCTTAAGTAAATGCAAAGGAATTAAAATTATCCCTTGCATATTATGAGACCATAATGCAATGAAATTGGAAATCACTGGCAAAAGAAACCAAACAACTTCATAAACACATTAAAATTAAACAACACCTACCTGAACAACTAATGTAACACAGATGAAAGAAGAAACCAACAAGTCTCTATAATTAAAAGATAAAGAGATACAACACATGGGAACTTGTGGAACACAAAGAAAGAAAATCCTAAGAGGGAAATTTATGGCAGTGAATACCCATATTAGGAAAGCTGAGCAAGAACAAATAAACAACTTAATATTGAATCTCAGACTTCTAGGAAAAGAAGAACAAAGCAAGCCCACAGAACATATAAGAGAAGAAATTAAAAATATCAGAGGAGAAATTAATGCATCAGAAAAAATAATACAAAATTATGAACTGAATAGTTGGTTCATTTGCATATTAAATAAAACCAACAAATTCTTAGCCAACCTTATCACAGAAAAAGGAAGGGAAAGACTCAAATTTTCACAACTGGGAATGAAAAGGGTGAAATCACAACCCTAAGGAAATCTTGAATTCTATCAATATGGAAAATACAGAAAAAAAATAGACAGGTTTCTAGATATACATGAATTACCAAAGCTGAATCACGAAGTTATCAAAATCCTAAATAAAGCACTATTAATCAATTGAATCAAAGGTATAATTAAAAACCTACCAACAAGGAAAAGCCCAGGTCCTTATGGATTCATTGCTGAATTCTACAAGAAATTTATTTTATTTATTTATTTATTTATTTATTTATTTATTTATTTTTGTGGTATTGGGGATTGAACTCAGGACCCTGTGCTTTCCAGGTATACAGGAAATTTAGAGATGATTTCAATTCCAATTATTTAAATAAACTGAAAGAGAAGCAATACTCCTAAATCCACTGCTGGAATGAAGAATTACTCTGATACCAAAACCAGGAAAAAAAAAAAGCAAACTAAGAAAGAGAAATGCAAGCCAATATCCCTAACTAATATAGGTGCAGAAATCTTCAATAAGATACTGACAAAGAGAACGCAGCAAACCATCAAGAAAATTGTACACCACAACCAAGTTAGGTTCATCTTAAGGATGCAGATTTGGCTCAATATATGTAAATCAATAAATGTAATAGATCACATTAACAGAGCTAAAGATAAAAGCCATATGATTGTCTAAATAGCTGCAGAAAAAGTTTCTGACAAATTCCAGCATCAATTCATGATAAAAACCCTAAAGAAAATTAGAATAGATCTTCTTTTCTCAATCTAATAAAATCTATATATGACAAACCAACAGCCAGCATCATATTAAATGGTCAAAAATCTAAAGCTTTCATCCTAAAATCAGGAACAAGACAAGGATCAAAATCTACTAAAAGACTGATAGATTTAATAAGTAAGTTCATCAGAGTAATTGGATACAATGCCAATACTTAAAAATCAATAACTTCCCTGTACACAAATAAAGTCTCATTGTAAGAAATTAGGAAAACAACACCTTTCACAATACCATCCCCCAAAAGAATTAAACTAGGAATCAATCTAACAAATGATGTAGAAGACCTCTACATGGAAAACTATAGTATTCTGAAGGGATGAAATAGGATATCAGAAAATGGAAAGACATCCCTTGCTCTTGGGTAGGAAGTACCAACAGAGTGAAAACAGCCATACTTACAAAACTTTCATACAGATTTACTGTGATTCTGATCAAAATTCTTATAGCATATCTTATTGAATTAGAAAAATGATCCCAAAATTCATTTGGAACCAGAGAGACCTAGAAGAGCAAAGGCAATTCTAGGCAACAAAGGGAAAGCATGGGGGCATCACAGTCCCCAAAAGGGGACACCACAATCCCCAACTTGAAATTTTACTATTAAGCTACTGTGATAAAGACATCCTGGTATTGGCAAACAAGCAAACAAGCACAGCCTGAGAATCAGTGCAACAGATAAGAAAATGCTGAAAGAACTCCAGATATATTCAGTCACCTTATCTTTGACAAAGATGGCAAAAAAAAAATCACTAGATGAAAGATAGCCACTTTAATAAATATTTCTGGACAAAGTGGTTCTGCAAATGCTAGAGATTGAAATTTTTCACCATACACTAAACTTAATTCAAAATGGAACAAAGATCTAAATACTAAAACAGAAATCTTAAACCTGCTGTAAGACAGAATTGGTAAAACTCTTGAAGACTTTGGTGTAGGCAACAATTCTATGAATGAAACCATGATTGAAAAGAATTAACAACTAGGATCTCATCTTATTAAAAAGCTTTGCACAGCAAGAGAAACCACTGACAGAGTGAACAAACAACCAACAATGTGGGAAAACTGTCTGCCAGCTGTTCCTTAGACAAAGGATTGCTATTGAGAACATATAAAGAACTCAAAAACAGTAAAACCTCCCAAATTTAAAGACCCAATCCAGAAACAGGCATCTGAGATGAATGCACACTTTTCAGATGAAGAAATATAAATGACAAATAAATAAATAAATAAATAAATGTTCAACACCACTGGTCATTCAAGAGATGTGAATTAAAAGCACTGACATTATATCTCACCCTGGAAAGAGAATGTTCAAAATGAAGAAGTCAACCAATAACAAATGATGGAGGAGCTGAAAAGAAAAAGGAATCCTTCTCCACTGTTGGTAGCAATATAGATGGATATAACCACTGTGCAAATCAGTATGGATATTTCTCAAAAATCTAGTATTAGAGGGCCCATTGGAGCCAGCCATTCCCCTTCTGGGTACCTTCCCAGAAGCATTAAAATCATCATATTACAGCAATATATGTACACCCATGTTTATAGCAGTGCTATCTGTAATAGCTAAATCTTGGTAACAACCCAAATGCCCATCAATCTAGAATAGATACAAAAGATGCAGTCTTTTGTATAATAGCATACTGCTCAGCCATAAAGAAGGATAAACTTGAGACTTTCATAGGTAAATGGATGCAACTAGAGCCCACAGTCATAAGTGAGATAAATCAGGCTCACATGAGTAAACATCACATTGTCTCCCTAAGGCAAGAAGTTGAAAAAGTAAGATTCAAAATGTACAACAGTAGATATTGTGAAGTGGAAAGAAACTGTATACACTAAACTAAAAGTGTATACATCTATATGTATACACTTATATATCTATATATACACTTATATACCTATATATACAGATAGATATAGATATATACATATAGATAATAGTTAAGATAGTTATACCACTAGTCTTATTTAGTTCATTGAAAGCAAAAATTTGTGCCAACATTGTTTGGACAATTAAATTCCTGTGTCTCGTACTCTGAGTAATTAATTTAAAGATAACAATATGAAATGCATTGTGATTTTCCTATTATCTTGTTTTCAAATTTTGTTTTATGTTTTTCTCTTTAAAATAAAATTTAATGAAATAAAATGAAATCCAAAATAAAAAATAAAACTCAATGTTGTTAATTTAATGTTTTAAAAAGCATGTAAGTTATGTTTGTACAATTTTAAATTGTTTGGATATAAGAGAGATAAAACTAATGCAGAAAAATGTTAACATGAATATCTTACTCTTCTGAATCCTCAGGTTTTTCTTTGTCTTTTTTCTTCTCAGTTTTACCAGCTTTCTTTGCTTGATCGTGCATTGGCTTAGTTTTATGCATACTTTTCTATAAATCATAAATAAACAGTTAGTAAGGCCAGGGAGATAGCTCAGAGGCATAAGTGCCTAGCTGGCAAGCGCAAGGTCCCAAGTTTGATCCCCAGTACCATAATAAACAAACAAACAAACAAAAACCCAAACAGTAAAACAATAAATTCTTGAAAATGTGGTAATTATTAAAACCTCCATTTTACAGAGTCACTAAACTATATTTCAAGACCAACTATCTGAATAGAACCCAAACTAAAGATATAGCTAACATGTTGGCAGAAGGACCTTACTGAATGTAAATTGAAGTTTAGGTAGTCTATATTGAAATAATTAAATTTCTCTGATAACTGTGCCTCTTCTGCTATACATGTCACATACCTGCCAGTACATCCCCTACCTGTACAGACACATGCAACAAAACCTGCATACCATTTGAGGGAAATGGGTTGGAAGTTCACTATACAAAAATTACCAAAAATGCATTTTTCTAAAGCATAAAAATAGCAGTACAATAAAGTTTTATGTAGTTAAATGATTGAAAATATAGAAAATATAGCCTGTTTTCTTGAATGAGATCTGAAACTTCTTTGTAGAAGTAAACACTAACTTATTTAATAGACTGCATTTGTGCACACTCTACACTGAAAGAGGGTTGTCCTACATTGAATAAAAAAGTTCTAATATGAGATGTGAGGTGGTGTGGGATACTATATACCTGATGAGTCAGGGTAGCTGATAGAGGCTATTTCTGCCTTCATGCAGCACAATGGTATATTGATTTAGATGGAAAGCGAAAAAAAATCTTATATATATTACACTACTCAAAGTTGTGGATAAGCTCAATAATAAAAACTTGCTAAGACACTGAGTAGCTATTTACTATTTTAGGTGAAAACCTCCAATGAGCACCAAATTTTTGATAGTAGCAAACTTATCACAAGTTAAACACAACAACAGCAAATTATATATGTTAGGATAGATATACAACTACTTTCTCTTAGCTCAATGAGAAGAAAGGTTTGTACTAATAGTGTTTAGACAAGATATCATGTCTGCATCTTGTCCTCTGAATAACTACTATGAAGACAACAAAATGCAAGGTATTAATTATTGTAACTGTCCTACTAACCTGTTTTGAAACTGTCTCATTGCTATTTTATCTTTTTTATCATTAAAATGAATATAAAATAAAAAACTTTAAAAAAATAAGTTAAACCAAAATGAAGGATTTTCTCATCTATTATGGGAAGTAATACTATGTAATAAAGAATTTTAATGAGAATTTTTACAACCCAAAACAATCTTCAACCTTAAAATTGAGTCTTTGGAGATATTTCCTGTTCAAAATAATACACATATGTTAAGAACCAGTAAACAGTAAAATAACAAAGGAAACAACCTCAAAACTAAGGAACAGATCATTAGTGAGCTGTGGGACATCTTCAAGAAGATTAATATACTTATAAATGAAGCTTTATGAAATAAGGGAACAGAACACATTTTGGAAGAAATAGTTTTTTGTTTTTTTGTTTTTTTCAAATTTGATGAAAGCACTATGGCTCCAAATAACAATATAAAGACTATTCAACATGTTGTTGTTAAATTAGTGGAAAGCAGTGATAAAAAAGTAATATTAAATGCAGACTGATGGGAAAGAGATTACACACAAGAATGAGAGAGAGGAACAACTTCTTGTTAGCAACAGCGCATTCCAGGTGAAGAAGCAACATCTCCAAAGTAGGACAAGAAAAGAGTCAGCCTAGAACTCTTTCTCCAGAAAAATTTATATTGATTGATTGATTGATTGTCTTTTTGAGACAGAGTCTCACTATGCAGCTCAGGCTGGCCTTGAGCTCACTTTGTAGCCCAGGTTGGTCTCAAAATCACAATCCTCCTGCCTCAGCCTCCCAAGCCTCACAATGCCTGGCCAGAAAAAAATGATCAAAAATAGTTTGGAAATCAGAGTTCAAAGGCCTCTAAAACAAAACATAAAAAAAATCCTTAAACCACAATATAACAGAAAGAAATATTAAAAATATGCAAAATTAAAGGAAAAGCACCAGAGCCAGGCATGGTTGCACACACCTGTAATCCCAGAACTCCAGGAGGCTGAGGAAAGAGGATCTCTGAGAGTTCAAAGCCAGCCTGGTTTACATAGGGAGTTCAAGGCCAGTCTATAAAGCAAGACCCTGTCAAAAACAGCAACAACAACAGCAACCAGAAATGCTGTTATTCAGAACAAATGCACTAAATGCCAATCCCAAGAGAAGCAAAACGCTTCTGCCTGTTAAATCTTAGCACAACTTCCAAGTGAGATCTAGCACTGGGACCCAGGTGTGGACTATAATAAAAACTTATAAATACATATATATGTTCACATGTAAATATGAATGTATGTTCAAATTGAGGGTAAGGCCAGGTAATGGAGGCTTATAGAACTACTAATCTCCAGAGTGTTTAGAAGTGTATATGGCCTGCCAGATCCTCATTCAACCCAGAGCCCAGGCCCGACATGGAACCTGCAGCAGAACTCCCTGTGAAGAGGCTAAAGGCAAGACCCATCCAGCTGATTCAGGAAGAGAACATCTTTCCAGAGTAGTATAGAGGGTTCAACTCCAAGGGCTGTAGCAGAAAGAAGTGGAGCACAGCAATCAGACCCAAGCCACACCCACTTGGACGAGTTTGAACTTGGTAGATCCGGACCTGGTGCTAAGGTAATAACTATCTAAGCTCTACAACAAAGATCAGAAGACAGTGCTGTAGAAAATAACAAAGAGAAGGAACAAAATGCAGTCTCAGGCCCTGAGCCCACCCAGAACAAATGCAGAAGACACTAGCATAGAAGAAACTGGAAATCACACAACTGAAGTCTCTGAAATAATAGTGTCTGAAGTAAAGAAACAACTAGAGAAAGGTATAGAGGAAATCAGATCAGAAATAATTTCTGAAGTAAAAAAAGAAATGATAACTATACTGAAAGAAGTACTAAGTGCTTCTAAAGAAGTGCATATGTGTGTGTACATACAGTCTTGTCTAGGTATGCATTTTGCATTATTATGTTCATTGAACATTAATTAACACCTAGTGGTTCACATGTGAATAAACAATCAGTTCAAGTCCAGCACAAATTAAATAACTGGGGCAGTGCCTTGATGGCTACGATGAGTCACAGTATCCCTAAAACTGACAAATACCAAAAGAGTGCCATGGCCACGAGTGACCATGGACTGACTAGGCATTCATCCATCAAGATGTCCTCTTGAAGGAAAATAGGTAAGTGGTGACTCTGACATAAGAGACAATGCTAGGTAGATATAGAAATTCCCCAGTACTATGGATCTGGAGTGAGAAGAGGGACACTTCCTAAATGGTTTCATAGAGATTTAATAGATCAAAAGATCTAAACTGGAGTCAATAAGCATGTTGGCAAGGTTGTGCCATGCAGATTAATAATATTTGTCTTAGATAACAAAAACTTAATGGACTGTAAGAGTTCTGTGTGGTGGGTTGGCCAGATGGCTCAGTGGACTAAAGTGCCTGCTTCAGTCCAGATGCAGGACTGGGGTTTGATCCCTGGCATGCCATGCCAGCCCCGCCCCCGGGTCGTGCTGAGACCATGATTGAGACTGGGTGTGGTGGTGCATGCCTGTAGTCTCAGTGCTTGGGATGCTGAAAACAGGAGGATCACTACTAGTCCAATCTACATAATGAGATCCTGCAGACCCTGTACTAAATACATTAAAAAATTTTTGTGTAGCATGTAATTTCACTTGGAAAGGTTAATTATGTTACTGGCAAACGTCATGATGACTTTAAGTAGTCATACATGTTCTTAAGTGGAGACAAGTACTGATAAAGGACAAATTTATTAAAGAGAAGATATTGATTAGAGTGACTTCATATGACACTGCCTGTGCTGCTGTTCACAGGGCTCTAATGCACATTTTCAATTAGATACTAATTATAACTACAATATAGACTAGGGAAATATTTGATATATCTGGAACATGCATATTCCTTTGTTTATGTGAATAAGGGTGTGAGGTATATATACATAGAGTATTTATAGAGTAGATGTGACTGAAAGAGCCAGTAGAGTTGCAATGTAAACAGACGACTGGATGATATAGCTGGTTGAAGAAGCTCCCTGATGAATATGTCTTAGTGTCAACAATGGGTTGTGACAAGTTGCATGAACTGACCAATGTGTGAAGCTTTTTGAAACTGTATGCATCTAATATCATTTATTCAATTGTGGTTAAGAATGTTATGGCCATGAGGACTTTAAGAATCATAAGAAGGGGTTGATTATAAACATCTTAAGGAGAGGAGTTGAACCTCTTGAGTACCAAGTTTCAAGTCTTGAGCAATTTCAGGACACTTCCATCTTAAAAAGTCCTGCTTTGGGGGAGTTTGAGGGGGTAATACATAGATTAAGATAAAATAATCTACTTGATTAGAGAGCTGGTTGATAAACTGACATTATTTCAAATCTCATTCATACTGGGAAAAAGTATAATTAACACTAATATACGTTAATTAATATACATTACTATATCATTAATATATAAAAATAACCTGGATTACTTCAGTTTAAACTCAGATTACATAGGATTTTAATTTGGGGAGGATAAAAATGAACAGTTAGTAGTAGCTTTATACCCTTAAGGGTGTTCCGATCAAGGTTGTAAATCCCTAATGTCCATATAAATTGTGAAACCGAATTCTGCTATGGAATTTGTTCTATTGACCAATTATATTTTTATTGACTATAACTTTTATTTGTTTGAACTCTGTTATTATCATTGCAGGTAAATTTTATCCTATGAGATCACTAACCAATATTTTTAAAAAGTATTTTGTTTATTAATTAATTAATTACAGGGTCTTGCTACGCAGCTCAGACTCATAGTGATCCTCCTGTCTCAGCCTCACCAGGGCTGGCATTAGAGGCATGCATCTTCAGGCACAGTTTCAGTGACCAGCATGACGCGGGTCTAATGTGGTTTCCAGTAC